CCAAAATTTTCAAATTAACTTATTGTATCAGTCTCCACGCAGCAATGTGTTTCTTTCTTAACTTGTTGTGTCATATCCCAGGCAGCAATGTTGCAAAGTCGACAATTCCACCCGTTGTGACAGTCTCTACGTAACAATGTGTGAATTTTCTACATATAACTTATAGTGCCAGTGTCCATGCAACAATATGTTTTTCCTTTGCGATCTAGCTCATTGTGTCAGACTCCAGGCAGCAATGTTGTGAAATCATCAATTCCATCCATAGTGTCAGTCTCTATGTGACAATGTGTGAAATTTTCTATATTTAACTTTTTGTGTCAGTCTCCACGCAGCAATATGTTCCTTCTTCGCGATCCAGCTCATTATGTCAGACTCTAGGCAACAATGTTGCGAAATCAGTAATTTCACTCATTGTGTCAGTCTCTATGCAACAACGTGTGAAATTTTCTACATTTAACTTATTATGTCAGTCTCCACGCAACAATACATTCTTTCTTCACGAACTAGCTCATTGTGTCAGACTACAGGCAACAATGTAATAAAATCAATGATTCCACTCATTGTGTCAGTCTCTATGCGACAATGTGCAAAATTTGTAATTCAATTTACGACGTCAGTCTCCACATAACAATATGTTCCCTTATTCGCGATATAGCTCATTGTGTCAGGCTCCATGCAACAATGTTGTGAAATCTGCAATTCAACCCATTGCATCAATCTCCATGCAACGATTTTATTATCAAACTTTTCCATTGCATCGGTCTTCATGCAACAATGTTATCATTAAACATTTTCCATTGCATCAGTCTCCGTGCAGCAATGTTATTGTCAAATTTTTTCTGCAACATAATCCATTGCATCAGTCTCCAGGCATCAATGTCATTATCAGGTTTCTTCCTCGATTTAACTCATTGCATCAACCTCCTTGCAGCAATGTATTATCAGACTTTGTTTTGTTCAACCCCTAGGTCGCGATGAATAGACAAAATCAAATCAAACCAAAACTTACTATATTAGTCTCCAAGCATTAGTAAGTCAAATTTTCAAAGCCTGTATCATTTACCTCCTAGGTTATGGTAAAATTTATGACGACCTCTTTTCTAGGTATTGACGAGTTATCTGCGTCGTCATATCTAGATCAATCTTACTCTTCAATCATATTTCTCTATTCAAACACTGATAGGATGATACATCAACATCTTTGCTGATTTCTTTATCCAAACTATGGTATGATGATACATCATCATCTTTGCCTATTTCTCGGTGCTCTTAGGTATGTTATATCAGTATATTCTTACTTAATAACCATTGGTCAAATTTTGGGATCTTCCATTATTTAATAACCCTCTGATTCAAACGTACGAGACTTGCGTATTCTCGCACCATTCAATCGAAGAGTAATTAAATAGGGGAAGCTGTCATACTCCAAATTTGTCCGCCCTTTTATTTCTACAGTAAAAAACGTTTTAAATATTGTTTTTATAATATTATTTGATTTTTATAGATGTTCATTCTCAAGTCCAGTCAAAAATATTTTAAACATTATTTTTATAATTATCTTTGATTTTTATAAATATTCGCTTCCCAACCTATTTTAAAATATAATAATTTATTCTAAATTATTTGTATTTTTTAAAATAGCAAATATCTGCACACCTTTCATATACTTTCAAATGAAGTTTATTTACAAATTAGTAACATAGCATAATTTGTGAAGAATGAGTCTTGCAAGCATAAGGTCATGAGTTCAAATCTCTTATGCTGCACTTTCAACATTTTCTTTTTTCTATTTTTTTTGTCACTAATTTTCTTTCCTTTTAAATAGGAGTTTCTTATTGGCAATTTGATGTCAATTTGTGTCACACCTTATTTTTTATTGGTCAAATTTGTTTTATTTCCAATTTGGATGATTTTTTTATCAATAAATAAGACATATTTTTCACACTTCTAAATCATTCACAATATCCACAAACACACAATTTCTCACAATTTCACTACACACTCTTCACAAACACATTCTCACACTTTCTTTTCAAAATTGTTTTCAAATACTATTTGTTTTTTTTTTTTGCCGATGATTCAAATATGAGACCTCCTCTTTTATTTTCAATGTTTAGTTTTTAACATATGATGAACATCTATCTGATGTTATAAGTTTTTTAAATTATATTACACATTATATTCACTAACATTCACCTATTTCACACAATTTCTAAAATATTATTTTTATAATATTTCTAACAGAAACAAAACCTTCCTCGCATTTTCTTTACATTGTTCGCATACACACAACGACCTACACATATATATCGTTTCTAAATCTTATTTCAAAAGACCATTGTTCATAAAACTTCTAACCATTTTATTCAAACCAAAATCCGTTAAAAACTAGCATCACCACCATAACCATGAAATTGCAATCACCATAATTTTAGATCTGGAAAAAATCAACAACATCACTTTTGCTAAAACAATAACCTCAACACCATGTAAATTCAACATAACTATGAATCAAAATCTGGAAAAATTGTGTGTTGTTGTCTTTGTTTGCTTTTGTGCAGAAAAGAAGGAGAAGAAAACTGTAGAAACAATAGCAAAATCTCAACAACACACCCATCGAATTTGCATCACTCATTGTTCCGTCAAAGAACCGCGAATCCGCAGCCTTCCTTACGCAATAGACGCGGCCATTATCCTCCAATCTCCTATTCTGTTCGCGCCCTTAACCTCCCCAACACCGCCGCTCTAATCAGGTAAGTTTCCTCTATCATTTTTGATTTTGTTCCTTTATGTGATGTTTTTTATATCTTTAGAAAGGAAAAGTTTTGATTTTACTAATTAAAAGGACAGATAATGTTTAGTTTTAAATATGAGAAAAAATGGAAAAAGCTTTTATCTACGTTTGATTTTACATATCATTCTTATTCTTAATTTTGTTATTAATACTTTTATTTAAAACATGCTACGTGTCGAAGCCTGGTTGGATAATTCCAATATTTGAAAAGCCAATTCAATCTTTATTTAATACACGTGATCACATTCGTTTTATTCTCACCCTTTAATATAATTATTTTAACTAGCAGTATGATGATTATAAAGTTGATTTGCTCTTGCACAAAATTTGGGTACTGGTTGTTTCAAACTGCAAGAATTTTATTTAACATTATATCTCTAGTTTTGATCCACCTTTTTATTTGTTAGTTGAATGTATAGTTAGTGTTATGGTCAAAATACAAACAAATCACACCCCTTAGCCTTATGGGCCAAGTCCAATATCTAGACTTGGACCATTACTCATGCGCACTCCTATTTTGCTAACCTATTCAAACCAACACCTTCCCCTGCGTTGAGCCTAAATTCAATATCTGAATTTAGGGTCCTGCTACATACATCCCCTCTATTTTTCTAGTCCAACATTATTTGCACCCCCTGCATTTTTTAATCATTTTATATTTATTATTTTATTTATAATTATTATTTACTATTATTATTATAAAATCAAATATATTTTCTCAACTCATCAAAATATTTTATTTATTCTATTGCATTAAAAATAATTTTTCACCATGCATTAATAAAGACTTTTTTATAATTAGCACATTAAAAAATATTCAACCAACAATAAAATCATTTTCATAATAAAATTAAACAAATCAATCTCTAGTAAAATAATTAGATTTATTAGGTTAACTATATTTTTTTTATAAATAATTAATTTAGTAAAATTATTTAAGATAATTGGTAAAATAACCTTGTACATAAATTCAAACACTTTTCAGAATTAAATTAATTAAATTATAGTCCTTCACATACTTAGCTTGGTCATTCTTTGGGATGAGAGAGATAATATATAGTTAAAAGCCTTGTACATCCTTCTATGATAAAATAATTACATCACTGCATCCATTAAATCAGTTTTTATGGTATTCCAACTATGTTTAAAAAATAGAGAGCTCCATAACCATCAAAATCTGGTGCTTTAATGTCATTTATATCCTTGAGGGAATTAAGAACTTCTTGCTCTATAACAGCCATGACCAGATCCTCCATCTGCACAAAGGACAATTGGGGCCCCAATCTCATAGCTTTGACATCAATACCTCTAAGACTATGCTCCTTCTTCCCCATAAGATTAACATAATAGTCCATAATCACTGCCTCTAACTCCTGTTGAGAACTGATGCTAGATCCATCCTCTTTACAAATGTTCATTATGGCAGTAACATTCTTTTTGGTTCTAACTACAACATGAAAAAAGTATTATTAGCATCTCGTAATCTTAGTCACTCTACTTTGGATCTTTTCTTTAAAAAGTCTTCCTCAAGGCCACTCCACTTCATCAAGTGCTTAGTACATCTATTAACCTCATCTAACTTTTGGCTACTGAATCTGTCAGTAATGAGATCTTTCTAGGCCCTATCAAGCTCATCTCTAGCTTTTGTTACATTCTGTCTGGCTTGAGTCAGGGTTGGTTGAACTTTCTGATGACAGACTGCAATCTCCTCAATTTTCTCCAAAGGACAACCATAGGTCTACCAGGCATGGGTGCATTCCAACTATTAGCAACAACTTCATCATAACTCTACATAGTGATAACACAATCGATAAATTTAAACACAAATTTCTTATTGTGGTTATGATTCTGATTAGAAAGGAGCAGGGGGGAGTGATCGGATATATTTGGGGGCAAGCTATGCAGGACTATGTTTTGGTATCCTGAGAAACAATCCATATTCCCCAAGACTCTGTCGATTCTAGAGTAAATCGTCCCCATATGTTGTTTGTTTGACCAAGTATAATAGTCACCACTACTATCCATTTTAAAGAGGCCTTTAGTATCCATAATTTCTTGTAGGTCATAGAATTCAGATTCAGTCACAACATTACCCCTAATTTTGTCTTGACTTTTAAGCACATTGTTATAGTCACCAATCACACACCAGGGTCCAGTTTTTTGTATATTAGTCAGATCTTTCCACAACAACTTCCTTTGGTCAAGCCTATTCATAACCTACACAACAGTCAACCAGAATTTAAAATTACCATTTCTGTCATAGATGTCACAGTGTATCATCTGGATAGTGCTTCTCACTTCACTAACATCTACTTTAGCATTGTTCCAATGGATCCAAATTATGCCATTGTCATGACTGTTGTAATTATCTATATAAATCCCCCTGAGATTCAACTTATTCCTAATACTACTAGCTTTTGAAACCTTCACTCTAGTTTCTACCAAGATGTTAATGTCAGCATAAAGAGAATGAAGATGGGAGCTAATCTTCTTTATCTTTGTCACTTTATTTAACCCCCTTAAGTTCCAAGAAATAATCATTGACCAGTGTTGTTTAGCTCTAGGAGATCATCCAAAATTCCTAAGGCATCAAAATCATTGACACAATTAATAGTACCTGAGTTGGAAGCAATTTGAACTCCTTTTCCCCGCTCTTTGCCAACAGAAAGCACCTTTGTCCATTGGACCTCATCATCTACTAGTGACATAAGTTTATGAGTTCTTTCTTTAATCATCTTATCATTACCTTTTTTAGGACTCTTCTGCAACATATCTTCAGGAGGGACATATGTTGACTTTACAACTTGTGGCTCCTTCTTCTCTATCTCAGCAGGTGGATTTTGAATCCATTGTTTTCCTTGAGGTTCTGGCTTATCACAATTATGCTCTAGTTTTTGACATTTTTTGCAGAAGAGGGGTTTCCATTCATACTCTATTATTTGGGTCATCGTTTCTCCATCTTCATCCCTAATGATGATCTCCTTAGGAAGCTCTTTAGTGATATCCATCTCTATCAGAATTCTGGATTAAGATATGCAGTGTTTATTCTCCGTGCACTCATCGGTAACCACAAGATTGCCTAGGACACTTCCTATTTTGTTCAGACTGTCGATTCCCCAAAGAAACAGAGGGAGCTGGGAAAGCTTCACTCATATGGGAAGGGTTCGAAGAAGGTCATTCTTCAAGTCTAAGTCAGGTCTCCGTTCTCGCAGAATTATAGGCATGTTCCTTATCATATAAGGACTCTTCATAAGCACATCATCCCTATCTCTGAAGAATTTGAATCTTAAGATGAAATATCCTTCATCGTTGTAATATATATCTACTTTTTTCATTTTTTAAGATTTTTTTACATTTCAATTATATTTTTCACTTATTTTTTATAACAATTTTTTTATAAAACATCTTTTTAACAAAATTTGCTTAAAAAATATTGTATATATTCACAAATAAATGTATAAAATAAAACCATCAAGAATTGAATCTACTAGAATTAACTAAAAAATGACAAATTTAAGGTAGGACAAGCTGAACAAATAGGCGCGAGAGATTTTGGCGGACGACGAGTTTTGACTGGGAGGGCTTTGGCGAGCGGCCGTCTTTAGCGGAACGCGCTTTGGTGTACGGCGGATCCAAAATCCCAACTCAATTCACTTTTTTTTAACATATGTGCAGACCGACCCAATAGACCACGATCCATTTTACCACCCTTACTTGAAGGAAATTATTTTAGACCCGACAACGACCCACAATATCAACGAAATCCTTATAAGTCCAATTTCTTCAAGGTGCTCACCGTCTGACGTACAAGTGGACCTTTCTCACTTGTTAATTTCATAAAGACTTAAATATTGCACTGCTAAGTATTTTGTAGGTATCCTCTCCACCTTATTAAAAAAGTGTTTTTCACTTAGAGATTCGTTACCGAATCAGTTATCCTCTACACGCCAGTACAGGACAGTTACCATACATATGCATATTTGAAAAAAATTAAAAATTTATCCAAATTTGTGTGTACATAAATGATAGTTCGACTTCTACATGTTAAACAATTATTTTTTTCTCCTTGTTTTCCATCCTTATCTTCGAGACTCAATAGCTTATTATACCGTCTATTTTGTCAACTATATCTATGAGCTGTAACATTCTTTTCTACTATATGCTAAACATGTGTCCGTACTGCCGACAGTTTTAAATTACTACCAGAAATTGATATTATTTGTTTTGCTATAATTTTGAAGTCATTTAAATCTATACAAGATATTTATATTTGTGTCAACTACAATAATGGAGTAATCATAGAGATTTACTGAGATATTTATATTAATTGTTGTTTTTATTAAAAAAATATATTTATAAAATTATAAAATTAAGTTATTCATTGTAACATAAGTATATTGTTGGATGAAGCCATTGAACTTGCTCATGCATACGTGGATATATCAAATGAACGATTTATTAAAGCATATTCACTTTTACACATTGATTAGGATTTTTTTTTGTCGACATTTGAGGCATTCATTTCAACAATATTGATGGAATAATAACTCAGAGATTTTGTTTTATTAATTTATAAATATTAATAATTTATTTATTAATATATTATAAGAAATATAGAGAAATAATTTTGATATTTTGGTAAATTTGTTGAATTAAATATTTTCTTATAAACTTTATACGTTTTAATATCCATAATAATAATTAGTTAGTTTAAAATTTTTATACATAATTTTTTAAAAAAAAATCAATTTACTCAAATATATAATATTTTTATTATATTAATATTATTAAGAAGTACTAATAGTGTATAAATTATAAGACTTAATAGAAAAAGTTAATTCTAAGTTAAAATAATATTTATTTTAAAATAAAATTTGTTTACATACTTTGTGCCATGCATAAACCATAAAGCTATAAATCAGCATACTTTGAATAACACTTCTCACCAGCTGTACTTTGCCAGCTATGGACATGAGAGAAGCTTTCCAAGCTGAGAGTTTAGTCTTGATTCTATCAGCAATAGGCTGAAGAAAGGAATCTTTAGGTTTTCCTTTAAAAATCGAGATTCCTAGGTATAAGAAAGGAAGTGTTCCAATTGAGAATCCAAGCAATGAAGCTATTGAAGCTATCCTTTGTGTAGATAAAGCACCAGCATATATTGTAGATTTTGAGGGATTTACCACTTGTCCTGAAGTAGCAGCATATCTATTAAACATGTCCTTTAAAGAATGAATGTTGGATGTGTTTCTTTTACAGAATATCATCACATCATCAACATATAAATTATGAGAAGGAACAAAAGTGCCTCTAAGACCTTTAATGAGCTTCAAATTGCCACTTGTATGTCACAAATTCTGACTTGTGCTTTTCTTATTGTATTTGATACTATATATAATAGTGTCGATAATTACAGGTAATTATAATTCATAATGACTAATTATAACTCATAATAACTAATTTCTTATTCTATGAATGTAAATTATTTAAAATAAATGTGTTTGATTATTTCCTGATTAACATTCCCCTTCAAATTGATGCGACTGGTCAAAGAGCATCAATTTGCTAACAAAAAATTGATGTCGTGGGCGTGGAACAACCTTGGTAAGAATATCTATAACCTGCAACTGAGTACTGGCGTGAGGAAGTGATATTATTCGATCATCGTAGGTGTCACGTATTGAATGACAATCAACTTCGATATGTTTAGTGCGTTCATGAAAAACGGAATTTGCAACAATGTGAATGGCACTTGTATTGTTAGCATAAAGGGAAGTTGGCTCTGTTTGGGGAAATCTAAGTTCATCCAACAGACCACGTAGCCAAAGTATTTTTGAACAAGCAACAGACATGACACGATACTCTGATTCAGTAGAAGATTTAGAAACTCTTGTTTGCTTCTTACTTTTCCAAGAGATCAATGAAGAACCAAGAAACATGCACCAATCGGTAACAGATCGACGAGTATCAGGACACCCTGCCTAATCAGCATCACTATAAGCACTCAACTGAAGAGAAATTCCAACGAAAAAGAATAATTTGCGGTGAGAGGTTCCCTTTAAGTAGTGAATTATACGAAGAACTGCGGCCAAGTGAAGATGGCGAAGAGAATGCATGATTTGACTTACTTGTTGAACAACAAAAGATATGTCAAAGCGAGTAATAGTCAAGTAGTTGAGGTTATCCACAAGTTGTCGATTCAATAAGGGATCAGGTAAAAGATCACCATCATCACGATGATATTTAACATTAACCTCAAGAGGAGTATCTACCGGATTAGCCGATTTGAGACCGGCCATAGAAATCAAATATGTAGCATACTTGTGTTGATTGAGAAAGATGCCCTTAGATGTAGAATGAACCTCAAGACCAAGAAAATAATGTAGATTACTCGGATCTTTCATGTGAAATGAGGCTTGTAATTGTTGCTTAAGTCGCTGAATGGGAGCAGAATACGAACCAGTAATAACCATATCATCAACATACAAAAGAAGCAGAATAATACCCGCAGATGTGCTATGAATAAATAAAGATAAATCATATTGACTCTGAGTAAAGGAGATTCCAAGTAGAGTGGAGCGGAATTTCTCGTACCATGCTCTAGGTGTCTGTTTCAAACCATATAAGGAGCGTTTGAGCTTACACACGCCTTTAGATGAAGAGAATAAGCCTTGAGGTGGAGTCATATAAATATCTTCTGTCAGATCACCATGAAGAAAAGTATTTTTCACATCCATTTGATGTAGATTCCACCCGTTAGAAGCAGCTATAAAGATGATCGTGCAGACAGTTATCATTTTGGCAACCGGTGCAAATTTCTTATCATAATCAATTCCATATTCCTGCTTGTTTCCTAATGCAACCAAACGAGCCTTGTAACGGTTGAGAGACCCATCAGAATTCAATTTCACAGAATACACTCATTTGCAACCTATAGGTTTTACATCAGGAGGACAAGACACAATATCTCACGTGAAATTCTCTTGAAGATCTTGAAGCTCTTCATTCATTGCTTTTATCCACCGCACCTCCTTAACAGGCTGTGAGTAACAAGTAGGAATATATATGCTAGAGAGTGTGGCAGTCAGAGAAGTATGTGAAGAATCATACCTGTATGGTGAATATATATCTGGTGCGCGAGATATTTGACCAGAACGCCGTGGGTTAGCCAATACAGGAACATGTGATGGTTCAGTGTCGGGAAGGGGCGTGGGAACATGCTACCTGTGTTTCCTGACATATATATGACCTAGTTTATAACGTTCTATAGATTGAGGCATAATAGAGAACTTAGGAAGAGTAACAATATCATTAATGGCAGGAGAAACACAAGGTAACATAAACTGATTATCAAAAAATGTCACATTTCTAGAAATACGAAAACGATGGTTAGTGACATCATAACACACAAATCCCTTATGAGAGTGACTATATCCCATAAATTCATATTGAACGGATTGTGCTCCAAGCTTATGCCTTTCAAAAGGAGGTAAGTGAACAAAACACACACACCCAAAAGTATGTAAAGCATTATAATCAGTATGAATTTTAAAAAGACGAAAGAAAGGAGAATCAAGTTTAATAACCGTAGAAGGAAGAAGATTGATCAAGAAGACAGTTGTGCAAAGAGCCTCTACTAAAATAGGGATGGTACAGAAGCTTGGAGAAGCAATGTGCATGTTACATCAAGCAAATGACGATTCTTACGTTCTGCCATATCATTTTGTTGAGGGGTATTGGGACAAGATCGTTGCGACAAGATACCTTTGTGTTGAAGGTATTCCTGAAACGTGTGAGACATGTACTCACCACCAGAGTCAGAGTGAAAATTTTTCACACTTGCTTGAAATTGAGTTTCAACATATGTCAGAAATTTCTTAAACATAGAAAAGACTTCAGATTTAGATCGAAGGAAATATATCCAAACAAAACGACTATAATCATCAATAAATGTGACAAAACATTTATAGTGAGAATGAGAAACTACATGAGACATGCCTCATACATCACTATGAATCATTTCAAAACAAGTGGAAGTACGATAAGCACCAGACGGAAAAGGAAGTCTTTTACTCTTAGCCAATTTACAAATAGAACGTGAAATAGAGGCATTAGAAACATTTTTATTTCCCAACAAACCATTTTTAAATAAATGGGACAAAACAGCAGAGTTTGGATGACCTAATTTTCTATGCCAATCCTCATAAGAGTTTAAAACATTATTACAAGCAAGAGATATATGATTAGAAATAAACTGGAGTGGAAACAATCTTCCCACTTTAGGCCCCTTCGCGATCACCTTCCCCGATACCTGCTCCTGCACAAGACAACCATCACGAGAAAAGTTAACATCATAATTTTTATCTCCCAATTGACCAACAAATAATAAATTAGACGCAAGTCCAAGAGATACAAGCACGTCCTGAAAATGAGAATTTATGTCGCCAATATCAATAATAGATAAAGTATTACCATCAGCTATTTGAATTTTCTGATTACCATGATAAGAGTGTAAATTGTGCAAATACTCTGAAGAACCTGTCATGTGATTGGATGCACCCGAATCAAGAAACCATGGGCGAGAAACATTAGAAGACTTACCCTAAATTCCCAAGGCCGAAAGAGCGGAAAGTATCATTTGTTGAATCAATTCAGGTTGTATAGCACTATTGTTTGATGCGCCATTAGTGGAAGGACCGACCACAAGATTTGTAGTTGCATGGAATGTTTGTGCTCAACATTGTGTTGGTCATGGAGGACGTGTGGGACACTCAGAGATAATATGACCATGTTGCTTGCAGTAATTATAAAACTTCTTATTGCAGCTACGAGCAATATGACCAAATTGCTTGCAAGAAAAGCACTAAACCTGTCTTATATCACGACTTTTACCTTTACTTTGAGCAGCATATACAACTGTCACTGGCTCGGGAATGGTAGCATCATGAGACATGGATCCTTGAGTAATAAGACGTTGTTCCTCCCTTAGAAGTTCTCCAACACATGAATCTAAAGAAGGAACAAGATTCCTATTCAGCAAGGCACCTCTGACAACTTCAAATTCTGGACGTAATTTCATGATAAATTGATCTCGTCCACTTCTGTTATAAACCTCTTGAATAACCGCGAGAGAGGTATTGGGAACATTTGAAGGGGTAAGAAAACACTTAGAAGGGGGGGGGGGGGGGTTGAATAAGTGACTCTTTTTCCTCAATAACAAAGCTGAACAATAATGGAAGGACAAGGTTATTTTTATCCTGGTTCGTTTGAACTCAAACTACTCCAGTCCACCCGTCAAGGTGATTTCGCCTTTCTCAACAAGGACTTAATCCACTATAATCAAATTATTACAAACACACAACAACTATTGTGACTAAAAATGCACAAGTAATCTTACAAGTGACTAACACCACTAAGACTCAAATCTAGTCCTAGTCTACTTGAGAAATCTGATCAAACTTGGTTTCTCAAGGAACAATTACAAGAGTTCAATCTTACAAAGAGTGAAATAGAAATTTACTTCTAATCAAGCTATATCACAACTGTGATTTTTCACTTAAAATAAATTGCACAAAGTGTATGAACAAAGAGTTTGTGAGCTTAGAATTTTTCACGTAGTTTCTTGCTTCTCTTTTTGAAAATTGTTGATTCGTTGGTTGACTTGCAATAAATGTCCTTCTATTTATAGTAGGAACAATAAGACCGTTGCTGCCTTCAGAAAAATGGAGAGCATTAAATGCTTGCGTGTTTCCTTGCAATGTTCCATTTTCCAAGAAACTAGCTTAGACACTTGAGTGCTTTCAGCCGTCTTTGCATTAATGAGTAAATGACAAAATGTAAGAACATGTTTCCTACGCTTGACAAGACAAGTTGGCTTTAACGTTCTTTCGGAACTTGCTTCAACGTCTTGAAAACAGAACATGCTTTACTCATCTTCTAGGCAATGCTTTGCTTGCTAAGAACTTGATCAGAGCTTGTTTTCAAATAACTTCTGAACAACACTTGTATTCCAATCTATTGTCGAAATAGTACGAGAACGGGGTATCGGAATTCGTTAAGTTTGCTGTTGCGCACGCCGAAGACCCCGGTCGAATGACATGTCCTTGTTTGTGTTGCTGTTTTGGGAATCGGGTTGACGCGGTTCAGTTGGCATCGTATCTAATACGGTATGGAATTGATAGAAGTTATACATGTTGGAATATGCATGGTGAGAAAAGTG